ATGCTTTTAGAACAGCACGTAATGGTTCAAGCATTGTGGTCCCAACTGAAAGATAAAGAATTATTTAATGGTAGTACCACTTCTTTAAAAATATTGCTCAAAGAACTTGGGTTTGAGTGGATGAAGAATAATCTACGACGAGGACTAATTAATTGCCTAACGTTGTTTGTAAAAGAGTACAATTCTTGAGAACTTATAAAGAAACGAAGGATGAAGGTATATGCCAATTCGTGTTTCTCGATGAAACTTGGATATTTCAAAATGGGATCATTGCTCATTCTTGGCAAACAGGTTTGTTGTATTAACATAAGTTGTTATAGGAATATTTAAATAATATCATTGCAGATATAGTATACTCCATGCTGGAAATGAAACCGGATTTATAGAGGGTACTGAAGCAATATTTTGTTCAAAAACTCAACCTGGTAATTATCATGGGCGACTACGAACTGCCCCACGAACTACCTGGGGCCTTTAATCCGAAGTACCTACTGCCCCATCGCCGAGAAAGTTGGGGATTAAGTCTTAATGACCGGAAATTCCAAATTTGATCATAGTTGAAAGTAAGAATATAAATATTTTCAGTTATTCACTTCAGTTGCAAGTATTACGGTATAGTTTTGTGTTTAACATTTAAATGGCGAATCCAACGACTATGTTTAGTCAAAGGGGAGAACTGTTATTAATAATTAATGAATATAAATATTCAAAAGCCTATGTCTCCAAAGATGGAAAGTTAGATGGCGATGCATCAAAAAAGGCTGTCAACAAAAAGTGTACACAAAGGAAGGTGATGAAAATTATGTTATTCTTGAAAAAGCATCGGAGCATAATCATGCTCCAGATATCCACGTAGACCGGCAAATTTTTAGTAATTCTACAAAGAGAAAAGCTGTAGAAGATATATGTGAAAAACCTTTTAAGATTGTCCACAAGGAATTGAGAAAGGAAAAATTCAGCAATTTACCGCTGACGACGAAAGACATTTCTTGCGTTCGAAGAAATATCTATGCTACAAGACGAAAATCCACACCATCATTGCCCAAGTCACAGGAGGAAGTTCTACAAGTGTTAGTGAACTTAAATTTAAAAACAAATACAGGTGAAAACTTTTTATTATCTACGAAAAATAATTCCGCAATTTTTAGTTGTTTCACAAATCTTTACTTTTTGTGTAATGTAGATTCTTTGTATGTAGATGGAACTTTTCAATACTGTTCTAAATATTTTTGTCAGATGTTTACTATACATGGCTACAAAAATGGTTTTTATGTTCCTCTAGTATTTTGTTTGTTACCAAATAAATCACAGCAATCGTACAAAAGTACTTTTGATACATTAATAACAATATGTACAGATTTGAATTTAAATTTCAAACCGAAGCGAATAATTTCTGATTTTGAAATAGCAATTCAAAATGCAGCCAAGTTAGTGTGGCCCGACATTATTATTTTTTGTTGCAAATTTCATTTAACACAAAATTGGTACCGAAAAATTCAAAATTTAGGTTTGTCCTCGGAATATAAAAATCAAACTGTTATTGGAAAATATTTAAAATTGTTTTTCGGCATTCCTTATTTACATCCAAATGATGTTGGTGACTTTTTTTCTGATGAACTTTTTAATATTATGCCAGAAGATGACAGAGTTTTGCAATTTTGTGATTACCTAGTTGATAATTATTTAACGGAAGATTCAACATTTCCACCTTACATATATGGGCTTCAAATTCATCATCTCTTATATTTACTACAAACGCATGTGAATCATTTCACTCGAAATTTAACGAATGTTTTTATAAATCACATCCTGACATATTTAAATTTACACACATTTTGTTAAATTTTCAAGCAGAAGTATATGTGAAAATTAGAACTGCACATAGATTCGAAAAAAAAACTTGATAAAACGGCAAAAAGAAAAGTTGATTTTATTGAAAATAGGCTAAATGAATATTACGTTAATCAAAACATTACTAAATTGGACTTCATTAAGTCAGTTTGCAATTATTATGCAGCTAACTTTTAAAATCTAAAATAAAGTGTTCACTCTTACTTATTTGAATCACTAGTCTGACATTAGAATTAAGCATTGTTATTGTTTAACTGTAGTTTTGTTATTGTATATAAGTTAATGTAGATTTATAAATAAACTTTATTCGATTACTTTCTATTGTTATAGTTTCATTATTTAATCATTTAAAATTTTCGCTCATGCTTTGGGAATTGGGTTCCTTTTTGAATACAAGAAAGTAAAATAAAAACTATAAAACTTAACCCATTAAAATCTAGGTTAGCGTGGGGCAGTTCCTAGTCGCCGAATTATCATAGGGAAATGAACCAGCCAAATTTTCTTGAAATGGTTTGAAATATCAGTTGCTGCAAAACTTGGAGAATGCTTCTCTAATTGAACTTGATAATGCACCGGTTGCAGTTGCCTCCAATTTGTAAAATGAAAAATGGGGAGTAACAAATGTTATAAAAAATATTTTCAGTATTATTTAGGTGTCCAATTAAAGAAAAGAGCAACAGAAAAATTTTACCTTTGAAAAAAAAAATCAGGACTGAAAGGGTTAAGAAATATTGAATTATTTTTTTATACAGTTTTATTTAATTTCTGAAAATCTACAGTTTTCGAATTATGTACTTTAGTCTGCCGACCCTACAGTTATAATATTCACATAAAGTCAGAAATTAAATAAAAAAAATCAAATGAGACTCTCAGATCTTTGTACGATTTAAAAATGTCATGAAAAAAAGCCAAACAGTTGATTAAACGTCTTAAAATTTACTATTAATTCCATTTTTGATGGCGGCCTGTGGTCTTTATAGATACTTTAAACATTTTCTAAATGTCCGAAGACCCAGACGACGTTTCTTCATCTAAATCATCAACAATAAATGGCAGTGACGCTCAATTTGTTTTGGCAGTATTCAAAGTGGAAATATAAGTGATCTTTTTTAGATTCTTCTTTATCCGACTGTAAAAAAATTAAGTATATATTTTTTACAACGCCATTTATTAATTTTGTGAGATTGTGAAGTTTCACTGACTGTAAAGCATAAAAAAATGATCAAGATGATGGGTTATCACAGTTTAGTATGCAAAATATTGTTAGAACATAAAAATAAGCAGGTTTTTGAGTAAAACAACATTCAATGACTAGAGCTAAACGGAATGCTGGAAATAAAATCGAAAAACAAGTAAAGTACCTGGGCAAATTATTAGGCCAAGCATTAAAAATTTGCATTTTTTAAAATTAATAATTTTTATCAACAGGAATGTTATTATTTTTTCGCATAGCAACATTTAATATAGTATGGCAAGAGTACTGTACTATTTTAACGTTGGCAACACCGCCCTATTTGCCATTTCTAGACATCATTGCGTCCTGTCAACTAGTGTGCATTTTATAACCTAAAATACTGTCTGTGAACATTTGAATGCTAAACGGTTTTGACCTGAAATTTTATTGCAGAGGTCAGTGATTTAACCTTTGTTTTATTATTTTTTAGATTATAAACATATGCAGTGAAGTTATTGGTATAATTAAGGGTATTATACATTTTTAGATGGGAAAAAAACTGATCTGTCATCAAAACGAGTAGGCCAGGTATTTGGACTCCTAAAAGGTGGACAAATGTCTCAAAATGAAATAGCAGCAACGGTAGAAGTATCAAGAAGTTCTGTAAAATATAAAACAGAAAATTGCGTCTGGAGTCAGTTTGGATCCAAAGCGTAAGGTCACAGCGAAAGACATCGTGTGACTACTCCTAGCACTGATCGCAAAATAAGAGATATTTGCCTAGTAAACAAAAAGAATCCACTGCGAATGCTTACCCAGGAGATAAGAGATGAAGGAATTTGTGTTTCAGAAAGAACATTTCGTCGGAAACTTGTCGAAAACAAACTGGTAACTAGAGATCAGCTCAAAAGCCAAGGTTTACTCCGGCTATGATAATAAAACGTTTCGAATGGGCACAAAATTACAAAAACTGGACAGTAGAAGACTGGAAAAAAGGTATATTTGTGTTGTTTTGCTTGAATATCAATATTAAAAACTAAAAATCATGGGAATTTCTAAAAATTTTGTTAATTTCAGGTCTGCTTCTCGGACGAATCCGTTTTTCAAGTTTTGATAGAAAAAACGAAGTTTGTTCGGAGATGTCCCAACGAGAAATACAAACCCGACATTACTAATAAAAGGGAGTTACTTGAAACGCTCATGTATAAGTCGAATCATAATGCTCACCTCCAGGAAACTATTCAACCTGTATCGAGAGCGTGCCTCGACATGTTCAAGCTCTTTTAGCAGTCAAAAGCGGACATACAAAATATTAAATGTATCCTTGCTTTGTAAAAATTATACTTTTTTAATAAATAAACGTTTTTTGTTAACTTTTTTAGTACAGTTAATTACCAACGAGTTAATATTCACAAAAAAGAACAAAACAGTAATTTTTTCAAATAAATTCATAATAATGATAAAAATAAGTTCATATAGAAAATTTTTCCTTGCTTGGCCTAATAATTTGGCCAGGTACTGTATTTAGTGAGTGCATTTGACCAGTTGATGGGAAAGATTACTCACCCAAGCTATAAAAAAATAAAAACATGTATATAAAATTCAAAACGATGTTCAAAGCATGTCTTTTGTTAATAGTATTATTATTATACACAAACAATCTGTGAATCTTCACAAAAAATATATAGTTATACGAGGAACAGCGAAATGTTCAGGGTCAAACCCCAAAACCCTATAGGAATTTTTGTTTTGTACATTTTTGAGCAGTAGACTCACTCCCAGCTGTATATTCCAGTTCACCTATCAACGAATACTATAAAAAGATTTATAAGTGATTCTTTTAGTTTTTTATACTTAAAAAAACGATGATATCCAAGATTCGCTTGATAGGTGAACGAGAATTCCAAACAAATATATTAACAACTCCAAAAGAATCTCACACTGACCAAGACAAGTAATGGGTAAATATACCCAATCAGGTCATTCCGTTGCTAGGTCCCCCCCATTCTATCAGATACTCAATTTTACCGTTGGGACCTATTCGTTTGGCTCTCACTGCGAACCGTTCGCCAGCTGTTATGCGATTAGCTGCGCCGAAGTAGATGTTAACCGAACTTTTCAGGTCGTCCAGATTAATGTCGGGCTCCTGTTTTACGGGACTAGGTTTTGGCGTGGGGGGATTGGATACTTTGTCCTTTTCTTGGGGCTTTTCGGGCCGCTGGCGAAGGCGACGACCGTTTAGTGTGTAGTCCATACAGTTACCTAAACATAAAAGAAACAGACATTATTATAGGCCAATAAAGGAAAAAAAATCTGTATATGATTGGCAGCTGATGACAATTTCTTGAAGACGTACAGATTTTGCTTTGTTTTTTTTTAAGAATCACAAAAATTGACAAAATATAATATAAAACGTTTCAAAATAATTAAAATATTATTTTGGTACGCCCCTGCAAAGTTGATAATGGGAATATCGGTTGGTCGCTTTAAGTGCGATGTTGCCAATGAATCACCTTTAATTGAAAATTGTTATCATCATCATCTTTGGCTCGACAATCCTCTGTGGATCTTGGCCTGCTCTAAGATTCGTCGCCATTCTGTTCGGTTTTTGGCAACATGTTGCCATCTTCTGATTTTTAATATTCGTAAGTCGGTTTCTACTCCATCTAACCACCTAATTCGCGGTCGGCCTTTCCTTCTTTTTCCTACAGGTGTTCCTGTGGTTAGCTTTTTAGCAATGGTATTTTCTGGCATTCGTATTATGTGTCCAGCCCATCTAAGTCGCTGTGTTTTAATGAACGTTATGACATCTGGCTCATCAAAGAGCTGATACAATTCAAAATTATATCTTCTGCGCCACTGCCCTTGGTCGTTTACAGCTCCAAATATTTTGCGGAGTATTTTACGCTCAAATATTCCCAAAAGTCTTTCATCTTTCTGCGTTAGAGTCCATGTTTCTGCTCCATATGTGAGGACCGGCCTCAGCAATGTTTTGTATATAATAATTTTAGTTTTTCTTTGAATGTTTCTTGAGTGGAAATGCTTTTGGAGTCCATAGTATGCCCTATTTGTAAGATTTATTCGTCTTTTGATTTCTTCGCTTGTTTTATTGGTAGCAGTCAATAGCGACCCAAGGTATGTGAAGTTGTCAACACGTCCAAAGGTATGACTTCCAAAGACTGTTTCTCGTTCCTCATTTGCTATCGGATCCTTTGTAACCAACATGTACTTGGTTTTGTCTTCGTTGATGACTAGACCGACCTGTTTCGCCGCTGTTTCCAATTCTAGGAGATATTGCTCAACATCTCGCTTGCTACGCCCTACTATGTCAATGTCATCAGCATATGCTAAGACTTGTATCGATCTATTGTAAATAGTACCGCCATCCCTAATTCGTGTATCTCGGACTGCCTTTTCTAAGGCAATATTAAATAGGAGGCAAGCCAGAGCATCTCCTTGTCTGAGTCCATCCTTTATCTCAAAGGATCTAGAACTCTCTCCCTGTATTCTAACAGTGGCTTCTAAGTTAGACATTGTCATTCTCGTTAGTCGGATAAGTTTCTCTGGTATACCAAACTCATGCATTGATTGGTATAGCACTGTTCTCTTGACACTGTCGTATGCGGCCTTGAAGTCGACGAATAGGTGATGGGTTTCAATATTGAATTCTAATGTTTTCTCGAGAATCTGTCTTATTGAATGAATCTGGTCAATTGTTGATTTTTCTGGAGTGAATCCAACTTGATATTTACCAATTATGCCCACTGTGTAAACTTGCAACCTTTCGTAGAGAATATTTGCTAGTATTTTGTAAGCAGTTGTTAACAGGGTTATACCTCTATAGTTGTCACACTGGAGCTGGTCACCTTTTTTATGTAACGGGCATATCACGCCTTGAGACCATTCACAAGGCATGGTCTCATTATGCCAAACAAGAAGTAAAAGCTTATGCAGTGTCTGTAGTAGGGCATCGCCACCATTCTTGTAGAGCTCACTGCAAATTTGATCAACTCCTGGTGATTTATTATTTTTAAGCTTTTTAATGGCTTGGGCAACGTTTTCGATGGTAGGTGGTCTTTCGTTTGGGTTGAAAGGATTCCAATCATTTCGATTTGCTAGGGTGTTATCTGCTTCTTCGATATGATGGCCATTAAATTTTGCATCGAAAAATTCAACCCATCTGTTTAGGATTGAGGCTGTATCATTTAGGATGTTTCCTTCTACATCCTTACAGCTCCTTATTCTTGGCTTAAACTCTTTGCGCATTTTGTTTAGATTTCTGTAGAACTTTCGAGTTTCATTTTGATTTCTTAGCCATTCTGTGCTTTCCAACTGCTTTTGCTCAAATTGTCTTTTTTTTCTTCTATGTAATCGTTTTTCTTCTCTTCTTAGTGTCCGGTATTCTTCCTTTGCTCTTCTTGTGCATCCAGCTTGATTTGTCTTTAGGTATGCCCTGTTTTTGTTATCTGTTGCTTCTTGGCACTCCTTGTCAAACCATTCGTTTTCTTTAACTGGTTTGGTTTTCCCCAATAGACCCAACAAGAAAATTGTTATAGTATATAAAAATATATTTTCCTCTGCAACTTTACAGAAATGTACAAACTATTTTTGGTTTATTATTAATTATATTTTATTTTATATTATATTCAATGTACCAAACTACTAATTGAACATATACATACCTAAATTTGTACCATTATTACTGGGTGACGTATTATTACGATGTGTCCATTCTTTGGTATCGGGTCTAACGGGTAACACCGCGGCCGTTTTGCTCGCCGTCTGGCCGTTGTTACCGGTACTGGTATAGACGGGATTAGGATTCCTATTCCTCCTGAAGCGTTTTCTTTTCACCTGTCCGTTCGGACCGATGATGATGTCTTTTCGCTCAGTTGACGTTTCGTTGGTCGCATTAGAGGTTTTCCTGGTATCACAGCTGTCAGCGGAAGTGGTAGGGTTATATCTTTCTTTTTACTGCAAGGAAGACATCAAAACGTTATAACTAATGTGTTACAAGCTTGTAAAATATCATAATATGACCTTAAAATATAGCTTATTTAATAGTACAGAATAGTTTAGTCATTATATTTCTTCGTAAATGTAGCTTTACCGCTAAAAAGGTCCATATTTGCTTGAAAATATTCAAGCAAATCTGGATCAATATATAACACAATATGTGGTCAATATATAACACAATATTTGAACAGCCAAACTCTACAGGTCAGTTAATTTAGGTTAAAATTCCTTTAATGATTATGATCTATTTATCTATATAGATTATGATATAATCTATAGATTATGATTTAATTTAGAAATAGAATAGAAACAGAAATAATTTAAACCGTACACCTATATTTTTAATCATTATATTTACACTAAAAGGTTTCTTAATAATCAATCACAAAAAATATTTTATTGCTTTTGAATTTATAAACTATAAGCCTAAAAAAGTTTCACAAAAAAATCTCCCTCAATTAAAATTACTATAAAAGGCTGGTTTTCTTTCTCTCAGAATTAGATAATATCTGGTCCTAACTTAGGACAATATCAAGCGCTCGATGTACAATTACATATCTCGCCTTAGTGCACATCTCGCTCAGTGTGCTTTAAACGTACATACTTGACATAGCAAAGTGGTCATTTAAAATTGCCTTGGATGTGAAACAAGATATGTACGTCTGTTTCATAGACTACAACAAAGCTTTCGACAAAGTCCGCTACAAAGAGCTAATGGACATCCTCAAAGCAAAACAACTACAACACAATGACCTTCGAATTATAACAAATCTATATTATAAACAGCAGGCACATGTACGCATTAATGAACACACATCAGAAGAGTTCGAAGTTAAAAGAGGAGTGCGACAGGGGTGTGTATTGTCACCACTACTATTCAATGCATACTCTGAAGAAATTATGAAAAGAGCTCTTGAGGGAGAAACAGCAGGAATCAAGGTCAATGGAACACCAATTAACAAGATTACATATGCGGACGGTACTATCATAATAGCAGACAACCTCCAAGACATCCAAAAGCTAATGAACAAGATAGTTGAGTATGGAGAAGAATATGGATTATCAATAAACTCCAAGAAAACAAAATTTATGAGGATATCAAAAACCCAAAATAATGGTGAAAGCCTGACAATTCACGGTAGTGCTTTAGAACAAGTTAAAAACTACCACTCTCTTGGCACAATAATTAATCACACAAACGATTACTACAAAGAAATCAAAGTTCGAATAGAGAAAGCACGAGAAAGCAAGAGAACTAAAATTGGACTTGAGAGTTAGGCTGGCAAGGTGATATATTTTCTCGACTCTGCTTTACGGGATAGAAGCATGGACATTTAACGCGTCGACTGCTAAAAAGTTGGAAGCATTTGAAATGTGGGTGTATAGAAGAATCCTGAAGATATCATGGACCGAGCATGTGACAAACAACGAAGTCATGAGAAGAAAAAACAAAAGAATGGAAGTATTGGAAACCTTCAAGACACGAAAGCTGCAATACCTGGGACATGTTATGCGTAATGAGAGATAGAACCTACTCCAATTGATTATACAAGGGAAAATCCAGGGCAAGAGAAGTGTAGGAAGAAGAAGAATCTCATGGTTGCGTAACTTGAGGGAATGGTACGGATGTACATCAATTGAACTATTCAGAGCAGCAGCATCTAAGATCAGAATAGCCATGATGATTGCCACCTCGTAAATACCATGTAAATAAAACCATGTAAATAGAAAATTGATACCGATCTTATTAAACAACACGTACAGTTATTCAATCCGACAATAGCACATTATCGCCGAGAACATGCATCAAATTGGCTGGATTTGCCCAGTGATATTTCTATTACACAAATGCACAAGCACTTCAAGGAAATGTATCCAGATATGAAAGTCAATTATGAAGTTTATCGTAAAAATGTTAGTGATATGAATATATCATTTGTAAAGCTGGGTCAAGAAGAGTGTTTTGAATGCAAAACATACAACCTACATAAATCTAACACAAAACATAATGAAAATGCAGAGTGTGACTGCTGTCAAACATGGAAGAAGCATAAAATTTTATATGACAACACGAAAAGAATATCAAAATGATGTGACTGTATCCACAACCTCTCACGAAATGTATATTTCTGTTGATTTACAAAAAGTGATCATGTTACATCGGGCAGAGATGTTCAAAGAGGTAATATTTGTTCCTCGCAGCATACAACGAAAGTTTTGTGCCAATCGGAATTTCATCGAATAAACAAAAACCACCAGCAGTTATTTGGCATGAGGGTATATTAGACAGAAATAAGGAAGACATCATTTCGACTTTCTTTTTTAATATATATTGTAAATAGTCCTCAAGTTCAGTTACAAAATCTTTCATCATTTCGAACCTGGACACACTTTTATGGCAGATGATAGTTTTCACCATCAGGTAGAAAAGGCACTAACAAAAATGGGTAAAGTATTAGACTTTAATGACTTTATGTCTTGTGTACAGAAATCAAATTCTGGAAAAGTGCAGATATTACCTATGCAAACAGAACATTTTTATGCATGGAAAGATCATAGCTCAACACATAAAATTAATCACTTGTCACCAAGGTCGTATTTACGAGATGTAGTTCTTATTTCTTGTTCAAGAGGAAGTAAAAACTTTAAATACAAAGTAAGTTTTTCAGACGATTTTATAAATCAGAGTAACTGCCACATCTAAAACTTGTATAGATAACATACTAACAAATATGCAATCATATGTGTCACTAGAAGTCTTGCACGCTGGAATATCTGATCATTCTGCCAAAAATTAACTTTTCAGGTAGAGGAAGCAGAAACGAATACTCTTGAAATGAAAAGACATTTTAGTACAAATAATATTGAAACCTTACATAAGTAGTAAAGAGAAGTATAAGAAGTAAATTACATAATCATGACTGGCTTAATTTAAGTTACAAATGTGTAAATGATCAATGGAATACTTTCTTAAATCAGTTTCTGTATATATTCAATCAGTGCTTTCCTTTTAAAAAGTTAGATTCTAGGCAACGTAAAAAAGGCATTAATAAAAGAGATGATCTAGAGATAATAGAATGTAAGACTCGTTTAGACATCTTGTTTACAATGAGCAGAGTTAACCATAAATTCTATGATTCCTATAGACACGTAAAAAAAGAATTTAATAAGAAACTAATAACAAAACGATCAAAGCTATATGAAAACAGGATGTCTGAAGCTGCCAACAAAAATAAATGCATGTAGCAAATTGTTAGTGAAATTAATGGTCAATTAAAAAGTGTAAATTCAATAAAAGTAGAGGGTAGTCCTCAAGAGATTGCTGATAAATATATGATCCACTTAAATACTTCTTTAAATAACACTTTATCCCAATTGCAATACACTACATAGCAAATATATAAAGACAACATTGCAAGTAACATAAATTCAGTGTTTGTCGTACCTGTGACAGAAATTGAAATTATGGATATAACTAAAAATTTAAAAAACAAAATGAGTTGTGGAATTGATGAAATACCCACTAAAATCCTTACTCTCGCTACAATCATAAATGATTCACTAAAATATGGTGTATTTCCCGAATGCCTGAAAACTGCCATAGTAACACCTGTTTACAAAAAGGGTGATCCTAAATTAATTAATAACTATAGACCAATTAGCCTTCTATGTTCCTTTTCAAAAATCTTAGAAATGACTATGTATAGGCGGATAACAGAATTTTTAACAAAATGTAATATTATTAGTGCAAATCAGCATGGTTATCAACAGGGAAAATCAACTCAAACTGCGATTTTTTCAATTTGTCTGAGATATTTTAAAATGTAGTGAGATTGGTCATATGGCTTTGGGTCTCGTTTTGGACCTATCAAAGGCATATGACTGTTTAGTGCATGACATATTATTTGATAAATTGGAGAAATATGGTATACGTGGACCAGCATTGAACTGGTTTAAGTCCTACTTGGCAAATAGGAGACATTTAGTACAAATACATAAAAACACTGAAATAGGTATTTCATCTGAAAGCACTATCAATATTGGAATACCACAAGAAAGTGTGATTGGTCCTTTACTGTTTGTGATCTATATCAATGATCTTCATGGTCCAGTGGCTAATACTACTTCCAGCATAACAAATTATGCAGATGATACAAACATTTTAGTCAGTGGTAAAGACATGTTTGTTCTAAGCGTTAATGCTAGTTTAGAGTTCCAGAAAGCTAAAGACTGGTTTTCTATGAACAGGTTGGTTTTAAATCAAAATAAAACAGATCTTCTTTTGTTTAAGACAAAATTATGCACATTCAGATATGCCAAACAGTATTATTGTAAATAATGACACTTTAAATTATTAGCAGCAGTACCAAATTTTTAGGATTATATATTGACAGTTTTTTTATGTTGGGATAAACATGTTGACCAGTTATGTATGTCTTTGAGTAAAGTGATTTACAGCTTTAGAGTTCTAAAAAATTCATGAATAGTAACTCATTAAAAACAGTGTATCATGCTAATTTTGAAGCAAAATTTAGATATGGTCTAATAAATTTTGGCCACAGTAGGGACATAAATAATGTATTTCTGGTTCAGAAAAAAATAATCGGAGTTTGTTTGTCTTAAAAAGTAGGGAATCATGTAGAGGGAATTTTAGGAGTAATAATATTTTAACAGTTTACGCTGTATTTATTCAAGAATACTTACTGTTTCTATATAAAAATAAAATACTCTTTAGGAACTTTGAGCCCAATAGTACAGTAAATACCAGGTTATATAACTATAAAATTCCAATACACAGGTTAAGTATAACAGAAAAAAACGCTCTTTATTGCTGCATCAAATTGTTTAATAAACTGCCTGAACCTATTAAAAGGGAGGAAAGATTAAGTTTGTATAAACATCAAATATTTAAATTACTGGTAGCTCTTTAGCTATATTCTGTGGAGGACTATTTGTATGTGTAATGGTTAGGAATAAATAAATAATATTTTCGTTTGTGACACTGTTTTTTTTTTTAATAATTTTATGTTCACGGAATGTATATTATTTTCTAAAAATAAAGATATTGTTATGTTACGTTATGTTAAATCTTAATTTCCTAATGGAAAAATCTTACATTTCAGACATACCCAAACCCAACATGCATAATAAGGCTCGAGGGATTGACATAAAGAGAAAACAAACATTGCTAAATTAGCTCCGCCCAATATTACCTAAGAATAGGATTATGTTTTGGGAAAATATGCCAGTGTTAGAATCCGTTGTTGAGGATAAATTGTAATTTGATTTAATTTTTTTCAAGATTTTTTTTAATGTAATTAATTTTGTGGAAATATAAAATATGTAACAGTTTTGTCTTTTTTAATAAACTTATTTAATAAGTAATTCATATTTAAACTAAACAAGTCCTATTATCCATTATTAATACTTAGTTAAAAAGTCCTATCTATCAAATGTCAAACTTGAGGTAGTTCTTGTTAGTAGCAGGTAAATGAAAATAAACTTTAATCCTAATTAACTACTTATGTGAAAAAAACTGTCTTGCTTTTTAAAATGAGGATGGCACGGTATTAACTACAAATATTGCTTTTTCTTATAAGTCCAATATTGTCAGTTTGAATGTTTTTTACTTAGTAGGGCAGTATATATTATTAGTTTAAATGTTACTTATTTACCTGGAGTACATGTTCAACAACTTCAAAAACATAATAAAACAATAATTCAAACTTTTGAATGCTGCTGTTACACTTTGTCGTTCCTAAATGACTTTTTGGGGGTGGGTAAGTCGCTTACATAATACTAAGTAAATTATTCTTTGAATTTACCCTTCTCGGTTTATCTCCATTATATTCATCATATTTTAAACTGTACCATCACAACACATTCAACTTCAGCAATGACTTTATTTCAGCTAATGATTAAATACAGATAATTTTCAGATTACTAATTGGTGGCAGATTCAGATTTCAGATTATCACTTTTTGTCACTTAATATAACTGTGAATGAGTCAGCTGCTCAGTTGTTGTTGCCCGGGTGTAAAGTTAATCAGTGTTTCTTCTTCAATCAGCATATTTTATTTTAATCAATTATGTACGGGATAATTTTAAATGATTAAAATCGTAGTAATACTTGCTGCATAGTAATTGCAGGAACTCTGTTATAGTCGCCTCGTATTTCGGTGAGACTGTGTGAAACTATATTTATCTGTAATAAAAGCAGGCAATAAAATTAACCCTAGAACAATATCGTGGCGTCGCAGATGACCGGTGAAAAATGTAATCGCTGTTTACTCACGCGCTTCTGTACTTACATCGCTTGTATTTCCTATTTCCAGTACCTTTTAGTAGGTGACAACTATCACGCAGCCAAGAGGGTACATGCGAATAATTTTTTGAAGTTGTGAAATCTGAGCGATTTGTCGAATACGATGCCACGTTGTTATTTACATAAAAAATACATTTTTATCACGTAAAACTAAAAGATAGTTTGTATTTGACTAGGTAAATACCTAGGAAACATAAAGGCATTAGTAAGGCAAAATACAAGGAACTATAGAGATTGATAGGAAAGAAAATAAAAGAGGCCAAATCCACCTGGCTTGCTAATCAATGCAGTGAAATAGAGGCATATGCTAAACAGTATGATAGCTTTAACATGCATAAGAAAATAAAGGAAATGACAAATACACTGAGAAAAAAGAAAGATGCACTTCTGAAAGACGCAAATGGAAAAATCATTATAGAAATTAAAGAGAAATTTAAAAAATGGAAGACATACATAACAGAACCTTTCAAAAACCTAGGGAAGTATTTTTTTTTAAAGCGGAAGTTAATAAAAGATGGATATCAATCATATGCTCTACTGGAATTATATTATGTTTAATGATGTTTTGGAGGCAGTTGAAGATCTTCAAATTGGCCGGGATGTCCTCCAACCAACGGACCCATTTCTTTTGTCAGGTAGCAATAGTAGCAGGGTAGCAGTTAAGATTAAACTGCTCCAAAAAATCACTGCTTTTTTGTCACCGTGACAATACTGGAGCAGTCACATTTTGTCACAGCTACACAAAAATCGCAGGTTGGCCCACCACCAAGGGGAGTGATCAGGTTGACGGTTGACAGTATCTTGTCCTTTGTCAATAATTAACTTTTGTGATTGGTTAAAATTTTAATTGAAAACCGGCAACACTGTTCATAGTTTCTCTCATTTCTTTCTACTCCCCGTATTCAAGAATACAGCTTTTTAAAATCGAGAGAAATTATGATGGAGTAGAAAAGCGAGTTAGCTTAGTGGGGAGTAAAATTTTCTCTCGATTCAAGAATAAGGCCCCTGATGAGAATAAAGTCATGAAAAAATATGTTTCTAACAAATAAAAGTAGCCAAAAATAGGATACTTTTTGAATTTATGTATATCGAGACAAAGAACAAGAAATATTCATACTAACCTTTTTGTTTCTTCCGTAGTTCCTCTCAGCAATGTTAAAAAAGGATTGTTTTTTCCTTCAAAATCCTTCGGCGGCGGTATAATAGTATCCAAAGTGCTTTTAGAACTGGTTTCATCCCCAGAAGTATCACAAGGAGTGTGTAATTCGGAGTGAACATCCAAATTGTTGCCCTTTTTTCCAGACAGCGCTTTCTGATTATTGGAACTCTCCGAGAAATCATTACTTAATTCTGAATTTAAGGTAGTGTTTGACGCTGGGGGTGTTGGCGGTGAACTGACGGACGTTGGTGGTGTAGGAGGTAATGCTTCGTTGTTTTTATTGTCTAATTTAGTATCAGTGTTTAATTTTCGTTTGGGTCGTTTAAGGATTCTTTCCCTTTCCCTGGTAGACATCGCTAGAAGCTTTTTCCGCCTCTGCAGGCTCATCTTTTTGAAAGGTGCAGTCTTTTTGGCGCATCCCGCTCCTAAATATTTGTTCTTTTGTACTATTTTCACTCCAGGCTCGATTAACGGTTCCTCTGTAACTGTTTCTGGACTGGGACAAGGAGAATCCGATTCCGAATTGATCGAATTTTGTTGATACGACACCCCCATCATTAAATTTTGCATGAAGGCGTCTGTTACGACTATTCTCTTTGTGACGACGCTCTTATCTATCGGTAAAAATTGTAGTCTTCTATTTCCCTGCCACAGTTCTCGAAGATCCTCTTCCGTTACTAGACCGTTAAAGGGAAGGGTAACGCATGGGGCCGGCGGGGGTAGTCGAACGCGGAGGCCCCAAATTGTGGTACGTTTTTTTATTTCTCGACCGCATTTAAATCGGTTGCGGTTGTTGGTTAGTACAGACATAATGTTCTCTCTTCTTTCAGACTTACTGACGTTTGTTATCTGTGAAGTAAAAAAACATTTTTACCCTTCCAGATTAAGTAACATACAATCTAGATTTACCAGTGTTAGTAATTAAAGAGGTTCTGAAAATGACATCTTTACAATTGAGGACCTTGATGCAAGAAGGGGGCAGCTCCATTTATAGTAACTTTTGTGAAAATAGAAAAAATGTTTTATAAAAATTTACTCATGTATTAATTACAATAAAGCAGTTTGGTTAAAAGATAACCATATTGGTACACCTGCCAATTTTTTCCTTTATTTATATAAGCTTTTTGCAGAAAGAATACAAAAAAATTTGGAGCTGCTACTATCTTGCACTAAAATTACAAAAAATAGTAACCATTGTAGTTATTATTGGAAAAAAAAGTTACTGCAAAATCTGTTTATTATTATTAAAAATTAACAAAAAAACATCTTTCTTTTATATTCAAACAGAAAATCAGTCTATTCGCCTGCTTGGTCGTCGTCATCCGTGCTTGATCAGACATTTAAGGGATTGGTAAAAGTCCACACTAGCGCACTATAAAAAGCTGTGGAAGATGCTGATATCCTAATTATCACAACAGCTCTTGAGATGGCCCCGTCAAATGAACATGTGATAGTGGTGGGGGAAGATATCGACCTACTGGTCATTTTGATTGGCCTTTGTAGCTCTGATATAAAAAACGTATTTTTTTTTTGAAGCCAGGAAAAGGAAAGGTTTCGCAAAGCCTTTACAACCCTCATCTAGCTGCTGAGAAAATCCTATTGGATCATATTTTATTTCTGCATGCGATGAGTGGTTGTGATACTACTTCTGCATTATTTAATCAAGGGAAACTGAAATTTCTTAAAGTCCTGCATAAGAACAAAGATTTGCAATCGGTAATTGAAGCTTTCAAAGACCCTAATTCAAGTCAAGATGAGATTGCCACAGCAGGAAACATGTTTCTCACAGCTCTATATGGAAAAAAGAGACAAAACTAAACGATATAAGATATAAACAATATGTATCTTCATCATTCAAAAATAAGACCGACATTTTCTCATTATCCCCAACTGAAGCTGCTGCACGAGAACATTCACTGAGAGTTTACTATCAGGTGCAGCAGTAGTTATCCGGTCAAGCCACACCTAACGAGCAACAAAAAGACCCAAGTGAGTGGGGATGACAAAAAACTAGTAGTGGTCTTGTGCCAGTACCAACTACTTTGGACCCTGCACCAAACTCAATACTACATGTGTTCATTTCATGTAAATGTAAAGAGGGCTGTCAACGCAATTGTGGATGCAGGAAGGCGGGACTCCATTGTTCCCCAATATGCGCATCATGCGAAGGACTATGTAACAATGATGAGCCCCAAGAATACATCTCTAACATAGACGTAGAAGAAACTGAAGAAAGAGGGAGAGGTATATTGGATCTGACAAGTTATTTTGTAGCCATTCATCTCTCCTTGATATATGATATGTGTCTCTCCTCTTTTTATTTTCCAGGAGAACGACTCCCGACGCGGACGATGGAGCAATCAGACCCTGAGCCAGGACCCGATGCCGTCGAAGAACATCACTACGATGCGGAAGGTATGTTTAATCTCACAATTTAATTTTGCAATCTTCATCTCTTCTTGATGAATGACTTAACTTTAAACTTTTATTTTCCAGAACAAGCAGAACCAGGACTCATCATTATCGAAGAACCTCAGCCAGGGCCTTCCAAAAGACAACGGCTCATATAAATTTTGCATATTATAATTTATAATTATAATAATATATGATCATAAGTAACGAGATTTTAAGTTTTATTTTGTTATAAGTTCTACCTACCTACTGAATTTTCATAATTTTTCCCTTTTTTCTTTTTAATTACTTGTGTGGAAAACTAGGTGACATTTATCAAATGACAGCATCCATAAAAATTAAATATTGAAATGTAAAAAGTGGGTTTTGCATAAAATTCTAAAAATTTTCAATTTTCAACTCGCACTAGAAACCGAACGATTCGTCTGAAAAAAAAAACTAAATACTGGTATTTGTAGAAAATTTCAAGTACTTTAATTTCTGTACACAGACCATTTACCAAAAGTTGATAGTTTTTGAGTTTTAAGCAAAAAACCCGAAAAAAGAAGTAAAAAAAAACGGTTTATTCTGTTTTTTTTAATGTTGCTTCACGAAATTTTGTCCGCAAAACCCAGATTCGGATTAAGCACCCCAAAAAACATATGGAATGAAAAAAATCAGAACTACCCCAAAACTTTCCTAGCAAAAATACAATTTAACTGAACAACTGGTTCAGGAAAACGATGTTGAATATTCTCCAAAGACATGGTTTTATAAGTAGATGCAGAAACTGTAGTATTATTGAATTTTTATTTTGAGCAGCAGCATTATCGGAAAAGAGGTACAGTTCACTGACATTTGTTGGAAGGATATTTTTTATGTAGTGATAATGAAAAAAACAATTTCATTCCGTGATTTTCTAGCGGTTGTTTCATCGTAAGTGTAAAAATGAGCTTTGCCGGTTTTGCCCGAATGTACACAAACATTGTAGACCTATAGTTGACGTTTGTAGAAGGTTTCGCCGGCCGGAATTTTCGGCAGAGGAAGATTCTGCTGAAAATCAAACGGCAAAATTTCTATGTCGTTATTTTGTTGGGTCAGTATTGTCTTTTCTTTTGAGTATGTAATAATCGACTTGTTTTAACCTCATGTACTTTCTTTTCAAGTCATAAATTTTCCTTTTCAGTATCAAGAACTGGATCTTAAAGGCTATTGTGTAATATGTCACATCTTTTGCAGATGTCTGAACGAGGCGCCCCAAAACTATAATTAAAATAAGCTTTAAAATACCCAGAAACAAAAATCGTAGGTTACTTTAGGTTTATAGTTTTTTATCAACAACACTTTCCGGTTCATTCACTAGTGAAACGGGACGTTTTCACTCGGTAGTGTGACTCACGTCGTGGAAAACTTTTTATGTGATTATCTACTTGCTGCAGTAAATCTTTTGAAATGCGGTTTTTTTCTATTTTTATGTTTACCTTGTTTGTTGTTCGGGGGCGTAATGTTGTTACTGCGCAAAGTTTTAGCAATATTATCCACTCGTTTTTTGGATATCCCGTGTATTGCTACGAATGCACTCTTACAAACTAGTATTTTTTCCATACCCAGCTATATATAGTATCAAAATATAGTAGCAACTATATAGTAGTCTCACTCACTAGTTTTAGCTTGAGTTCTGGCAACATGTTATTAAACCACCCAAGTAGATAGTTTGAATCTGTTTGTCTCCTATTTCATTAAACTTTACTAAAACTGCTTGCCTCTGTTTTTCGTTCACCTTTTCAAAACATTTAAACTTACATTCACAATTAGGTCCACTTTGTCTAGGTCCCATACTACTATCTGTCCAGTTAACATAACTTTTTCATTCTGCTGGATTAACAGTTTTTCTATTCTTCGTAAACGAAACACTCTGAACCTCGTTTTGAACTGTATTGACTGGAAGCTTGTGTTTTTACACGCTTGATTTTCACTAAAGGCCCTGCTTCAGTGGCCAAATCAGATTCTGTACCATGTGGTCAACTTTCGTAAAATGCACTGCTAGAATATGTAATAATGTTGACCATTAGAGCAATGGACTTAAATGGACTGAATCATAAACTGAATACTAAACTTAAACTTCCGTGAATTACATTCAAGGCCAAGCTAACGGTTATAGCCGAAGCGTCTCGATATTTGGCGAAAGAAGAGGGCAGCTCCGCAGTTGCATCCTTCTTGCAGCAAACAATTTCGGAGGTAGGTACGTAAACAGTTATAGGTTTACCATTTATAAATGGATCTGCTTCTTTTGTGCACCAATCGATTCAACTAATTTTTTTACATAAAATGTAAATTTGACCAAAAATGGAGCTGCCAGCTTCTTGCAGCAAGGTCCTCAATTGATTGTATTATATTTAGATGAAATAAAAAAAAATTAAGGTTGTGATAATATTACAGTTCTTACCTTTGGTGGTAGCTGAAGAGCATGCCAATTGTCGTTGATATAAGGAATAACAACTGAATCTAGATCATAATACTTTTTGGAATTATAGGCAGTCAAATTGAAAAGCATTAAATGCACTAAATCAACCCATTTCATTTCTAATCTCCTTACAAAATCCTGGCCATGGTTACATATCGAACAAACAAATACATAAAACCTATAATCAAAAAGTTGTTTTTATGTATACGAAACATTATATGTTCAATACAATATTGTCATCTTTGCATAAAAACCAAGTATTTACTTGTATTAGTTTAACTACATTCAAAACGAAAATGTTAATATGCATGGAAACAAAAAAAAAACGAGGAAAAGGTAATCACTATTTGGACTGAACTATAATACAGCTAAAAGGAAATATATGGAACCAGGATTATAGGGAGGGAGGAGTGACTTATACAATTAAAATATCTAAATTAGTTTTCAAACATCTACTTGTCAATGTTATTGTTTACATTTAGAAAATTATCTCCGAATTTTTCTGAGTAATCCTTTGAATAAAAATTTATTTTTTTGGTAGATTAACTCTACAAAACGATTAAAGATTCCCTTGTGATTGTATTTTTAAGTAAATTTAAATTTAACTTATTTTTGTGAAGTTAGAAATGTCTTCGATCTGTTCCATATATAATACTTCTATTATAGAAGAAAATGAAAGTGTTTCTTGAGACAGTTGCATACTGATATTCCACTCCACTGATAAATGCTTGGGGCACTCTGCAAGTGAAGATTCCTAGCTTGGTGAGGCAAGTTACTGAGTTGAGAAATGAGCTACACAGAACCAGGACTGATTTGGAGGTAGTTACCAAAAGGGACCTCATCAAAAGGGAGGTTGACCGAAGAGGAGTAGTGGGCAGATGAGCTAGAGGAAGACCAAAACTTAGGTATCAAGATAACATAGAGGATGATCTGAAATCCATCGGAGTTAAAGCATGGAGAAGAGTTGCCAGAGACAGGGGCGAATGGAAAATTGTTCTGAGGAAGGCTTTGGCTCATAACGGACTGTAATGCCACTGATGATGAATTCATTTGATAGGACCTTAAGATTTTTAAATAGTCACTGTGATGTAGATCCTTTTAAGTTTAAATCAATTTAAAACCATGATTTGTTTGAAAACCATGAACACTATTGTATTTTAGAGTGTAGTTATAAGATAAATTAGATTAAAAAATATAATGTTACTATAATACTGTAATGGGGTGATCCCGACTATTTAATAAATAAAAAATAAAAAAAATAAATTACATTATATTTATAGTATATATTCACAAATCATTTAACATATTTATACAGGCGTGAGATTTTCACAGAAGATACTTTGGAAATACATAGTTTTTGTACCAAGATAACAATATAATAACAAAACTTTTAACTTACCTATCACCACAATACAAAGGATATTGTAGACAATCCAGACATTTTTCGTGGAACCATTGCCTACACCTGCTACATTGAAGCATCTGTTTGTACCATTCCCCATTAGTTCCACAGTAACAATATATTTGTTCACTATTTACTCTATGATATGTGTCCCAATTTAATGAATTTAACTGAAAATATGCAAAATTGTACTGGGTTAATGGCAAAAAGATTATTAATAAAACAATAATTATACTATAAAGTAAGTAGATCTTATTAAACTAGAAAAGGAGGCATCTAGGCCTAAGAAAATGAAAAATTTATCTATTCTCCAGTATACTTCATGTGTCTATGATGTGTGCATTATAAAAAATTGTGAACAGAGTAAAAAAAAACTTCAAAAATCTATTTGATACTAAGAATAGTTAAAAAAAATCCTTCCTCCATTAAGAAGTCCTTCAGAAAGATGATAACAATATAATAAATAAATTTACTAATTAAACTGTAGCATTTTCAATTTCATTGATTTATTGATCATTTCATTGATTGAAATATATTGAAATCGCCTTATATATGTTTAAAAAATAAAACGAAGAATGTTTTCCGTGTTTGTTAGTTCGTATCTTTCAAGTTAAAATACGCAAAAGTGTTTTCAATAATTGTATTTGCATTGCTAGATGTTAAAATAAACCATTTTAGAGTTGTTTATTATTTTAACTTTTTCGGCAATTTCTTTTAATGTTTTATTCGAAGTCGTCTTATAATTTTTATATGTCGCAAAAGGATTTCTACGTCATTTCGTTTGTGTTTTGGTAATTTCAGCGGTTCGTTTATTTTCTAGTTATGTGAACGAATTTTTAAATTCGTCACGTCATTCATACTTGGGTCGTCGTAGTGTTAGGTATGGATCTTAATTCATGCTTGGGTCCCAGAGCAGTCCATTAGGCTCAGTTATGGATCCGAATTTGTCGTCGAATTTGTGGTTTTCTGTTTTTGGCTCCTTTTGTGGAAATAAGTAGCAGTAGTGGTGGATTTTTATCTATTATGAAGTGACCGGCATTAATTTGCCAAAATTGGTGGAGTTTTCGCTCGATGTAAATGTCATTTTAGAAAGAGTGACCACTGTTTCGTTATTTTGAAGATTTTAAGATGTTTGAAAAGTCTAGTTCCTGTTGAAAAGTTGAACAAGTTTAGTTTCTGTTTTTTTAAGAGTTCCCGTTTTTCCAAGTGTACTAGTTCCAGCCCCCAATGGATAAAGCTCTTCGCTGATGATGTCCGGATAGATACTCCAGGGATGTATTTTTTTTTCATTAAGTGGAAATATGTGAATCCAGGTAACTGTTTATTGTTTGTTTAATTTCAAAGTAAAGACAGATATTTTTTTAGAACAATAATTGCTTTTGTTAAAATTTAGAAACTGTAACATTTAAAAATTGTAATGCGGTAACATTTGTAAGTTTTATGTAGTATCTGCAACTCCTGGAGTTTGTAAGCGGATGACACACGTAAGTTTTTTGTATTCTTGTATTTCTTCATGTTGTAACTGTTTGTGGTGACACAAAAATAAATGTTAAATTTTGTTTTCTTAACATTTTATTTATTTTTTTTTGAACTAACCCTTTTTGATTTTTATTTGAAAAAGATATTTTTTTGATGTTTTATAATTATATTCCTAGTTACAACTATTGGTTGTAATAGGTATAACTAGGCACCTCAAGTGGCGCCCTATATTAAATTCCTTGAGGTGTTTCCTGTTTATTTTTATTTTTATTTATCCCAAGAGATTAATGACCCCTTTATTTCATTTTTTGTAGTTGCCCTAATCCAACCCCCTTATCTTTTACTTATCCATGACCCCAGCTCTCCTACCAAACCCTGAGTGCTGTTCGCACAAGTAGTGATTATTTTATTTGCCTTATCTCCACCCCCAATAGTTTCTTCCCTCAATTTTCTACCCCCTGTATTAATGAACCCTTTGGTAGGCAAAATATTTCCTTTACAAAACTAACTATTTGCCACCCAAGTTTTTGTGTGCTGACTCTATATCTTGCTAATACTATATATAATTTATTATCTGAAAACTTACATCATAAGGTAATATCCGTATTGTGGTAGATGAAGGCATCACTTGACTATCATGGTTGATGGAAGAAGTTACACTCCTTAGGGAATCTCTCCTTTGGTGCCTCACTTCACTCTTTTTCAGTCTCTGTGGTTCACTATCAATACAACGTTTACACATCCAAGTTGCACCTATAAAACATTAAATAGAACAAAATCTTATAAAAGGGACACATGGAAGTTATACATACATTATAACAAACAAAAATACATATATGTAGAATTTATTGCAAAATGAATATTGGGATAATAAACAATAGAAAAAATTTAAAGAAATCAATTCTTGGGCAAAAATATAGAAACAAAAATAAAAAATATATCTAAAATTTAAAATGTCATAAAATTAAGCTGAATTGAAGTTAATAAAACAAATCTTTAGGTGAGAGCATAAAAAAAATATATCTAAAATAAAAATGAGAGAAAATCATAAAAAAATGGAATCTACAATTCAAAAAAGACAAAAAAGGCTAATAGTACTTATCAGAGCCCAATTACAGACAGATGAATAACTTGAGAATAAAATAGATGAAAAAAATAACAATTCCTTCCAAATATTAGTAAATGTATGAAGTATTTGTTACTAGAAAATATTATAAACGGATTCTTCCATTTACTTTAAAAACAATACCACTATGTTTCATTCTACATACCTTTTAATACATACACATTTAAGAAACTAATTTTGAAATAAATTACTGACCCTCCTTTTGACAACTGCTGGGTATCTCTGGTACATGACACTTCTGATGATATCCTCTTCCACACTGATCACAAACAGTAATCTCCTGCCTATTCTTGGGAGCAGATTTCTTACACACCACACATAGATCTTCCTGCTCTGGAGTACTCAATTTGGTGAGATCTTTAAAACCTGACCAATTGTAGGTATTGTCTCCAAACTTCACCAAACACTGTTCTCTAATGGCATTCACTTGAACCACTGTCCCAAAGTAATACCTGTCATCCTTCTGTTTGACCAGCACCTCATTTCCTACTGAAAATTCTAGCATCTCTACTGAAGTTGTACTATCTGGCACTGCTGTTTGCTCCTTTTTAAGGTATATATGCTGTGTAGAACAAACTGCAGACATTTTCAGGGTTTCAGCCTTGAGATATTCATACACCAACTGAAAATATTATCTATAGAAAGAAAACTATAAAAAATAATTACATCTATCCTAAAATACTACCAATTTATAACTATAAATAGCACTCAAATGAGTAAATAGATCATTTTTTCGAAAGAAAAAACTCTCTTAGTGAATTTTTTAGCTCATAATTTTTCCCATGTATATATTTCTCTTTTACTAGCAGTTGATAAATAAGAACACATTTATTACAATGAAATAAGTAATGTTAGTTTCTTGTAAAACCCAATACATACTTGAATATTTATGTAGAGTATTTTTTAAATATACCTTGAGATAAGAGTGTGAAGAAAATTGTAGCAGGTGACCACTAATAAAAAAACTAAAGATACTTTAGAAATAACCAAAAATCTGCAGATAACCCTCTTAACATAAACAGTTGATTAATATTGATAAAGAAACACATAATAAATGTTTAGATGAAACATTTAAATACACTTTTAATAGTTTCTGTTACATTTATACAAATTACAAACAGTTTTCATGTTTGGTCATCAGCAGTGCATATAGAAAAATATAAAAACTACTTAATGTAATGTTATGTTTGTGAATGTAATGGCATATTCCAAAAAATTATTACAACTGCTGTTTTAATATAAAGCCACCGTGTTATACTAATTGTATTAATGGTTGTAATTATTGTACAATTAATATTGTACCTTAAAATCTTTTAAGTTAAAAGGAGTACTGGATGCAAGACATTAGTACCTTCTTTGCATTCAGCCATACCTATTACAATCAGTCACTAAAATCTGATAAAATACAATTGAAACGCTAAGGTAACAGCACCTTCACCCTAATTATTAACAAAATACTCATTTTTATATTAAAGTTCCCAAATAAACAGATTTTGTTGAAACACAAACATTACATGATCACACCCTATATTAGCACTTTCAACTTCATAATACGAAAATATTTAACAAAATACAATGTTTTCCGTCTTCGTTCGTGTTTTAAAACTTTAATTTTACATTTGGTGTTTATTTACCTTTGACAGCGTCTATATTCTGAATGGTACTCCATCCGAAACCTTCACTTCTGCGGCCATTAAACTATTGTTTGTATAAAACCCGCCAAAGTAATTACAAATAGAATTCTCAATTTTTACGACAGTTTCTTGAATATGGGTTTCATTGTTTGATAAAGATTGTAGTATACTAAGTTTTCATTTATTAAATGGGAAATAAATATCTTAATTATATTAAATTAAAAAGAAATTAGGTATTTTGAATATTAACGATATTATCAATTTTGGTAAATCATTGAGAGATGGCGCATAGTGTAACAGTGCTGTCATCTGTCATCAAAAACTTCAATGACTTTGACATTTGTTGAACCTTTCATATTTTCGTTTGTTACCCAGTTCCGCCCTGACGTCATACTCGGGACTGTTTTGATTTTTTAATAATAAATTAATAATTTTCTTCGAAATATTAAAAATTTAACAAATAAAGTTTGGATTATTTAAATATACAATTTGATATCTAATGAGGGATGTTAATTATATGTTATTTATGATAAAGAATGTATATTTCTATCAAATATTAATTTTTTGTTATTTATTTTAAATGTCCAAAAGATTTATGTATCTCTGGTTTTTCATACTATTACAACATTAACTTGACTCTATAGATTTTATTTTAAACCGTAGTCTAGGCAACTGTTGAAGCAGAAAATTAATTCTGTAAATATCATGTTGGCAGCCGCCTATTGTCTAAATGTCATGCGTATGTCGGCGATGTGCGCGAAAAATCATTTTCTTCACTTTTCCTATGATTTTTATAATTGTGGAAAATCATAATTTCGCCATATTATGCAACATTTTTGTTTATGAATAAAGGTACTCGGAATATTCCTCTTTTTGTTGTTTGAACTATTTTTAATGTTAATACTCAGGTTCCATATTGAATGAGAAAACAAAACAATAATGGTTTCAGTAAATAAAAATTTAGTTAAATTCGTCAAAATACTTCACCTGAAATTAATTAATGAATCAAGAAAATAATGGTAACGTACAATTATTCTTAGCTTAACTGTTATTTTCATTAAAAAAATTAATATAGATCATCTTAGAGAAGCCATTTGTATGACCTCAAAAAGTAAATCTATAATCCTTTGACATCGTAACGGAACTTGTAGAATCAGCAAATATTTTTAAGTATTTAATAGTACAATCGTATTTAAATCCAATATTTTACAGTATTTTTAATATATTTAACTCTTTTTATAAGGTAATATCGGTAATGAAGATTATTTGTTCAGTACAAGGCTCTCACACGTCGGCCATCACGACAGTTTGTGGCAAGCTTGGCCAGCGGGTATGTGTTAGGTGAGTGAGAGTGGTGTTACTCCGTATTTTTCACGATTCTAATGTGGATTATCACTCAAAAGACGCAGGTAATGTAGTAAAAATGATTATTAAGTTATTTTCTATGAGAATTTAGTAATAATTTGGCGTAAAAATCTAAATTTCTCCAAAAAATACGAAAATTTCATTGAGCTTCACTGTAAAGGCCAGTGTGTAGAACCCGCCATGTTGTGAAACCACTAAAGAATCCGATTTATTTGCTTCTCCAGAGCTCTTAAAAGAAAATTACGATTTTTTCTGATATATTTTTATGTGTAGTTTATATGATTTTGTGGAAATAACAAATTTTTCCCGCGTTTTACCGCCAAACCTACATTTATTTTCGTGGTGTATGAAGCGTCCGTTGTGTATTACAACCTACTTAATGATCAAAATTTTACAGCGAGACAGCCAAGGTCTCGATTGATAAAAACGTGTAAATATATCCCTGAAGAACGTGTTCACCTTAAACTGTTCGCATATATGTAAAAAAGGGATTTTGAATATTTGTAAACATAGTGAAAATGTGGGGTAGAAAAATTGATGGAAGTGAAATCGGTCTTCGTTCCTCTGACATACAAGCAGTGTTCACACATGATAATACGTATTCGAAGGTTACTTGCGAAATTCCCCAAAATGATACCATGTACTGATTGTAGATTGTTTTGTTTTTAAAGAAAAGTTGGGGGCGTGGCGTTTTTTGACTCATAATTTCACTATAATTTTAAATAGGTATGTTATTTGGTCACTACAAACAAGAATTTTGTCAATAAATATAGCTGTATTACTTTTACATTTCAAACTCTTGTAAAATCTTTGTATTTGTTTTTAAATTTGGCCTATACATGCCTCCCAATTAAATTCGAGATTTCATCTTAATTTCAATAGTAGTGAGTAAACAATACAGTAGGACTTTGTTTATTTTACTTGATTTTGGTGTAAAAACAAGTGATGTATGTAAAATATTTATAAACAAGCTGAATCCCATCACATGACAGCTTATAAATACCAAGAAATACTACACTGATTCAGTTTTTCTGCAGAGTAGTGTATAGTATGGAATTATGCAATATTATTTTATGTTGGAAAATATCTGATACTGCTTTCTTTATTTTGTAGAAGCATGAACAGTTTTTGCATATTATTACCTACTTTATTCTTTATTTAAAATATTGTTTTCTATGGAAGGAATTCATTCATTGATGATTTCCCAGTGAAATTAGACTCCTCATATTTTTGGTAATATATTTTTGAATTTTTGTATCCCGGTTTTACATCTGTTTATGCAGCTTTCTGCTTTCTTGTCTTGTCCACTTTCTCCACCATTCTATTTTTGTGTCACCAAATATTTGGTGCAAAATTTTTCAAACTTCTCTAGTCTTTCGCAGATTGGTTTTGGTCTTCTTTGCTCATATCGTAGGCCACTTGTATGTATCAATTGCAACATGCTACATTGAAGCTGAACAAGAAAACACTCTGTGAAGAAATCATAGAGATAACAAGTTTACAGAAGAATATAAGCATATAATAATAAAATAATTAGAATTGAATGTTGTGGAAAAAGGGGAAGACAAAAAATTTTTTCAAGATTTTTATTTGACACTATTAATTTTAATGGTCTATGATTGGGTTCTCCAAAATCATTTTTGAAAATTTGTACAATGTAGCCTTATTCTTCTGCAGTACTACAGCCCAAATTGAGCCTTGGCCTAATTTATTTTTTGCCTCCACCCTTACTTGTCTGTGGCTGAGAATATACAGACTCCTAAAAGAGCTTGTGCGTCACTGTTTACTGTGTCCTCCCAGTGCTGTCTTGGCTTTCCAACCAGTCTCTTTCCCTGCATTGTGTCCTCAAATCATGTTAAATTCTATGGCCTATAAATTTAAATCAATATGTTTTAAAATAGTATATTCACTTAAATCTTAATGACAATCAAATTTAGTATAATTGTTTTAGTTCTTTTATGGCAGTATTTTGTTAATCTTGGATTTACTGCCATCATAAACTATGAATGTTTTAAGAGTTATGCACTATGGTATCTCCTACTCCTTATTATTAATATATGAGTAGGTCGAATCGGTGCAATATCATAGGAGACAGTCTGCATCGTTGGAAATATGTATTTCAGTTACATTTTTCCTGGTATTTGCTGTCTTACAGTATCTTTTATGACAGCAATGTCTGTACAAAACTGTTAATTTGCAGAGAAAATTAGTTTAAGTAAACTAGAAGGTTTTCATAAAAATTTGGCTTATTTATCAATGACCTGTTCATTCCAAATCGATCCTAAATATTGTAACTTACAGAGACATTGAAAACTCTTTAAAATTTTACTCACATTAAGAGAAGCATATTCACAGCTTGATATTTTGATTGAAAATAAAGTTTGCAATTTTAAATATAAGAAGAAAATCATAGTGGAAGGCTTTTTGAGCCACTATAAACCAAATTCTCACAAATACTACACATCGCTAACACATGTCTCCATCCCTCCAAAATCTTCATCTAGAGGCCTTTGCTTCCATAATATAACTTTTTGTCTTGGTCCTTTCATTCTTTTGTAACGTTTTCTCTGGTGGTCTACTTTGAAGCATTTTTTTACACATGTCGAATCTATGCCAGTCTCCTTTGCTTTGTCAACCTAAATAAGTACTCACACATACTATCAACTATACAAATTTCAGTCCAGAGTAACTATAAATTAAGACCATGAAATAATTTTCAAAACCAAATTCATTTCATGGATTATTTCACAGATTTAATATCAGATGTCGCTATTTGCGGTCCATTTGAAGCCATGTTAGAGTTGCTTCCTAAGACAGAAGAGATTTATTTTCACGTTCATAGTGACTAAATTGCTGTTCTGAGGAGGCCTATTAGGCCGAAATACATATAAGCGGATACACAGATGCACTATACATAAAATCAAATCTTAACTGTCTTCTTTTTGTTACCTTGTCTGACATCTGTATGTTCCACACTCCATAAACCACATGTTGATATTTGGTTGGTTGGAGAAACAATGGTTATGCTACCTTCATGGTAAAGCTAGCATAGCCATAGCTATACCTCAACAAGCAAAATGGCTATAGGGCCCATCTTGGTGGCATATTTTATTGCTAATTAATTGCGGTTGATTGGTACATTGACAAATCTCCAAAAGAACAGCATCCCCAGGTGCAAAAGTCACTCTCAGGAAAAATCAAAATATCAGTCAAAAACATTGAAATTAGATAAGTGCACAAGCTTATCAAAAATTAGTCCCTAATTTCATTATCAATAAATTGTTTTGACAAAAAACTGCAGAAATAAATTTGCAATTAATTCCTTGAGGTTCACCTTTCTAGTATCATCCCTTTGGGCTGATATCTCGATTTTTCCAGGAGTGAGTTTTGCACTAGGGAATGATGGGGTAGCTTTTGGGAATTCGTCAATGTACCAATTAACAGCACTTAATTTAACAATAAAATTTGCCACAAAGATGGGCCTGTGTAGTTCTCTTCCTTGCTGAGATATATCCTGTGGCTATGGTAGCGTTACTATAAAGTTAGCATATATATAATATAATGGCTATACACCCCAGCATATGGTTAAACTGCAAATGCTCTTTAGATCCTATTTCTTGGGTGGATCAGGCCCTTTTGTTTATGTTTTCTTCTTGAAGATATCTCTCCATTTTTTCCTGTCTCTAGTTTTTCTTCTCCATTCTCTCACTGCTGCCCATTGGAGGTCTTCTTCAACTTCTTGCAGCCACTTTGATCTTGCTGTTCCCCTTCTCTTCCTCTCACCATTAGCATACTTTGGGAAAAACTTTGATATAGTCTCAATTGTGTTCACAAAATCTAGTGGTACTCCACTTTTGTGTAATACATGTATAACATCTCTAATACTTACATCAAAACATTTTTTAAATCTACACTACACATATATGCAGCTTTATTAAATCTGTCAAGAATTATCTAATTTTCAGTGCAATTTTTGACTGCCAAAAACGCAATTCCTTGCAAAGATTGCTAAGTAACTTTCAGAAAACAGTACAGGAATATTATTATTTTTTTAAGACTTACCGGAACTTTTATTGGACGATTTTTTGTCCAGAAAATAAGGTTATGTCAGCCAAAACTTTAAAATTGTTGTTAGAACCCGAAAAACTTTTTATGATTCCTATTTTTTTTTAAATTTGCATCAACTCGACCGTAAAAATTCGTCATATCTTTCACAGTGTCCTGCCAACAAAAATAAGGTGTTTTAAAGCTGATATAAGAGGCTTTCTAGACAATTTTTACATTCATTTTGCAGCAAGTGAAGTCAGTTTCTATAAGAGGTCATCTCTGAAGACTGGACTAGCCAAGTATTTATATATTTTTTAATGATGCCCTTTTAAGTATCTAATATTGAAATCTATTTCAGAAAAAATAGTATATTTACCACTTAGTAAAAACACAATTCCAATGTACCTTGATCAACAATTTGCATCGTCATTTGGAAATGTAGTACTACTGATTAAAAAAACTTATCCATGGATTCATCAAGCAAAATAATTATTTCTCGATAATTGTTATGCTCTTATTTCAATTCTTGAAGATCATGATTACCAGGAGAGTATGTACATGATTCATTTTCAGGAAAAAAGTTTAGTTGTTAGGGCTCGTATATGCAGCCTGTTGTTGGCCATGTTCACACAGCTCCTGTATGTTCTTCACACAGCCAGCTCTTTATTATGTAGATACCTTTCTATGGGTTCTTGGATACTTTTGAAAATAACATTCTGCAATACAGTATTTTTTTTGTTGATTTTTTACCTTTTGCCAGTCTTAATTTAAGGCTATATTAAACTACACTAATGTGACTAAAAAGTAAACTTCTACTTTTTTATTTATTACCTTTATAGCAAATAGACAGAACTTTAAAAACTTTCAACAACTTGCAACTCTTACAACAAAAAGGATTCGCAACAAATGCATTCTTGGATTCTTTCCCTCGAATATTTCACAACCATGGTTAAATTCATTACTAAAATGTTTCTCTCATCTTTCAATTTAGTCTATG